CACTTGAGGGACTCCCCTTGTACAGACCCTGTATGCTTTTAAAGACCTAATGTCTTACAAAACCAAACCTCCAAACCCAAACTTCTTTCCTTGTCCCCTTCTCACTCAGCTATCCGGACTCCGCCTGGCTTCTTTTGGGACTGCAAGGCCTTGAACTTAGCATACCAATTGGGAATCCAATTAATTGGGGGGGAGGATATCTTTTTAAAATAACAGAAATATAGATACTTGTTTCTAAAGAAACTTGATAAGCAAATGTGTGTGCGTGTGCGTGTGTGTATGTCTGCGTTGCATGGCTGCAACTTTGATAGAAAAGAGTCCCTTTCCTCCAGAGTGTCGCAGATATTGGTGTTGCAGCCATGCAAAGTGGAATTAGTGGAGGAACCAGTCTTCTGACAAATTCAGACTCCACACCACTACAATAGGAAGGGAATGAGAGACAAATGAGCAGGTATACTGCCCATGGAAAACATCTCGTTTTGAAGGAGGTATTTGGATTGTTACCTGGACATATGGTTTCCCACTGCATTTCAAACCCTGGTGCAATCACATTTTAGTTGTCTCTGCAACCGTGGATGCTAGTTAATTCTATGGGCAAGAGGCTGGCCTCTTTAGATGCGTCCAGTTCACAGATTTAGTTGGTATACTGGAGAGGAAAGAGTTGGAAATAGGCGATGAGTTTGAAGTTTAAGAAAAGTGCAGTAAGGAATTTGCAGGAGGCTGACCCAGGGTTCGGACTACCAGAGCTATGAGAGAGGGAAGTGGAGAAGCTTTAGAACGCCCTTGGGGTAGCACAGAACAATGCAGTCTCCTAAGAGCACCAGGGCCATTTCGATGCTCAGGGACGTTTGCCAAAAGAATGATTTCTCTTTCTTCAAAGGATAATCGGATTGCTGGAGATTAGTCTGGGATCTCGGTTTAGGATCTATTGACTCTGGGGTTATTTCAGAATCATTTTTATTAGGACTGCAGGATTCTACCAACTGCTGTGGTAACAAGCTGTTTGTGTGACAATTATAACGAGGTGATTATATTTATGATATACATTTATAATCCTAATTATAAAGGTTATTGCTGAAGTTTTAAAAAATAAATGTCCGATCCCCACCAACCTCAAAACCAAAACAAATAAAAAACAACCCAGTTCCGCTATATGTAGTATAATTTCAAACTTTCAGGTTGAAATTAGTATAACTATTTGAAAAGTATTTCTTTTGCTTCTAACCGTCTTACTCCACTTCATGCCAAATTATTTGTAAATATTTGTTAGGACCGACTTTGAATCCTTTTGAAATTATTTCACTTTACATCTTGATACAGTCACGCACGCAGTCACAACTTTCTGTAAGGATATCTGGCTGTTTTTTTGGTGAATTTCAAAACAAGTTCAGCTTCAGTGTTTTTGAAACTCTGGAGGAAAGGGACTGCCTTTCCTATCAGAGTTGTGACATGCAGAAACCTGGGAAAGCTAGGCATTTTAGAACAGGTGTTACGCTCAATGGGGAAGAGAATGGGGAGAGGGATTGTTGTCTTAAGGTTTATAGAAGATAGATAAGATCACGCAAAGTTGGTGACAACCAGGAAAAAAAAAATAGCTTGATAAAGAAAGCTGAGTCTGTACCAGATCTTTCTCTCCACTGCCTTTCCGCAGATTTATACACGAACACGGCTCTCTTTAGGTGTAAATAAATGCACAGGTACTCCAGATAAGCGCATTCATACATAAGCACTCCCACGACACGCCGAAGAATTCAGCATTACAGTATAAAGCTAATGTAAATATTTCTGGTTAGGATTTTTTTTTTCTTGTGGAACCAGCCAACAGCTGAAAGGACTTTGAGTTGGCTCTGTTTACACGGAATCAGTCTAAGGGATCACATTTGCAAACCATAATGCTGACTGCAGCTCTCTGCCTTTAGTCCCTTGTCCAGATGCAAATAAGAGTAATTCATCAAAAGGATCCTTGACCTGCATTTGCTAGTTAGGTTCACGTTCTTGCCTACTCCTTCCTAGCTGTTCCTTCTCTCCGACAGCTTTTTTAGTGAATCTCTCCTTAAACAAGTCACTTTAGTTTGTCCACTGACATGCTTTCAACTTAGTGTCTCAATAACCCCCTTCCTTATCCCGAATCTCCTCCTGCTCTGGGGGTCCCCAACCCCTGCTTCTTCCCGAAAACGAACCCGCCTCGAGTGATCACTTACATGGCCACGGCTCAGGAAGGCAGCACGCAGGGGAGACCTGATAGCCAGAGCGGAGTTCATGCTGGGGGAATGGCAGGCATCATTCCCCCATCTCGTCACCACCACCACCACCACCACCACCACCACCGATCCGCGGCTGGGCCAGAGAAATGAACTTTTACCGGGCTCTCCCCAAAACGACCGTGAAACAAGCTCTAGGAAGGAGCAATTAAAATCACGAGAGTAACTACTAACTAAATCAGAAAGAACCCACAGGCTCCGGGGGCTGTCAGGTTGCAGTCATTATCTGGTTGTTGCTACAAAGCAACCCCGTGTGGTTCAGAGATTTAAAAAAAAAAATCTTTTTAACGTTGGCAAACCCATTATTGTTTTGGAAGATTTCTTCCTTCCCCCCCAACTTGTTTTTATTTTTTGCTCCAACAACGCTTCCTGACATATTTCTGCCCCCAGCCTAGTGCCCTAAACCCAGAGAGAAAAATTCCGACAGCAGCAGCAACAGCGGCGACTGCAGCCGCTGCTGCAGAAGTTAAAAAAGAGAGAAGCCCCCTCCACTAATATCTGTAACGACATCACCAATGTAATTTGTTTTGAATGTTCATTTTTATTGGTGTTCTCTCTTTGCCAAAATGTGCTTGATTACATAGATTTGGTCCTGTGATAACTGCGCACCCTAGACGGGCTAAGGTGTAACGGAGAAGGTTCAGCTCAGGCCAGATCAAATCCCAGGCTGTTTAACGCTGAAAGGCTGCATGTTGCTATTAGTGTTAAATATATGGCTAATTATGCGTATGAAAATTAAACATCAGTGTTATGCTAATGGGGCCGCCTTCAGCTGTGGATCAGAGCACTTGAGACTAGCATTTAATCAAATGAATCAGTAACTAATACATCTGCACGTGTGAACTTTCACAAGATCATTTCCCTGTTACCGTCACACCACTAAATTATGAAAGAAATAATTATCAACACTTTCTAATTATCTAACAAAGTAATTTGGGATTCACCGTGGGGCTGGCGGGATTGGGATCCTGCAGCCCAACGTTGTCAGCATGCCTGCGACTCCGCGCCAGTTGTTTTGTGTGAGTGTGTGTATTTTTGTGGCTTGTGTTTTGCTTCAGGGGAAAGGTGCTTGTTGTTGTCTGTGTTTTAGGCTTCGGGGCAGGACTGGAGGGCCTTCTCACTTTCACTAGCCACCCACTCGCCCGCCCCCACCCCAACTTCCATTTTCACCACCTCTCCTTGGGCCCTCGTCCACCTCCTGGGCGGCAGCACAGGGTCTTAGCCAACGCCCTCCTACACCTCCCCCCCACCCCACCCCCCGCCCCAGTTCATTCGTGTTTCTCACTGGGTTTGGAGGCCAAGTCCTATACATGTGGATGATAGCTGGACATAAATGGAGACATGCGTCCGCACACGGTCGTGCGCCAACGGACACAGATTTGCTCCCTGTTGCTGCGTGCGGGAGAGTGCTCCCCCTCCACACAGGTAACACCCTTTACTTTACCAAGGCCTCCTTAGGGAGACGAAGAAATCCCACCCTCCAGCGACCATTCAGCTTGCTCTGACCCCTGCTGATTCTGCCCATGTTCTGGTTTCTGTCTGCTCCCCTGGCGCGCTGAAAACTAGCCCTTCGCCACTAAGCCCATAGGGGAAGGGGAATGAGGTGGGAAGGGGAGGAGGAAGGCGGTGGTTGAAAGGGGTAAGGGGAAGGAAAGGAAGGAGGGTGAAGAGTGTATATGTGTCGGGAGGAAGGGGGTGCAGCCTCTTTTCCTGGGAGGAGAAGCGTGGGGTCCACCTCACTCACAGGGAGCGGCATTCTAATCAGATCAGCCACAGCCTCAGCGCACCTGAGGAGTCGAGGCTGGAGAGATGCGAGCTGTCCCTGGTGAGAAACAGAGCACCGGTGGAGTGAGCAATTGTGTGTGTGTGTTAGGAAGGGAGGGGGAGTTGAGGAGGAGGGTCACCAAGAAAAGGGGAAGGTGGACTGCATGGGGAGGAGAGAAAGAGTGGAAAACAGGCGAGAAATAGATGCATTAGAAAGGGGCAAAAAGAGACTGGAGAAAGAAGTAAGCGTGATTAGAGTGGAAGGAGGCGCCTTTCCCTCGGGCTCTCTGCTCAGCACTTAGTCCCAGGAACATTTATGCGTGCTGGCGCCTAAGATGCTGCGGTCCAGGGGAAGCGCGAATTGAGGTAGTGGTGAGGCCAGTCAGGGGACTGCAGGCCTCCCCCCGCCCCATTGCGTTTCCCCCTCCCGTCTTTAGGCTGGGGGCCCAGAGGACCAGAGGAGGTGGGGGCGGCTGCTGTAAGCTGTAGCACCCGAGGTCCCCCAGTGAGGGGGGCGTGCTGGCTGGGCCTGGGTGGGGGGAGTTGCAGGTTGGCTTCTTGGGAAGAAGGCTCTTTGAGGGAGGAGGGAGAAGGAAAAGAGGGGGTAAAGAAGTTGAGGGGGGCGTTGAAGGGATTGTAAACTCTCTCCGCTCTGGCGCCTGCCGCCGCCGCATTGTGAGCCCTGTCGTGTTGCTCTATTGCAGATGTTCACTCGCAGGGGCTCGGGGACGCATCTCTCCCAAGTCCTGCTTGCCTCGCTCCCTCTAGTCCAGCCGAGCCAAAGCACCTCGGACCAATCCCAGGCGATTATGCAAGACGGCGGACCAATCAGATCCGCCAGCTCATGAATATTCATGACCTTGGCTGAGTCAAAGCTTTGAGGCGAGTTTGGGGAGCTCGGCAGCATCATGCTTAGACTTTTCAAAGAGACAAACTCCATTTTCTTATGAATGGAAAGTGAAAATCCCTGTTCCGCTTAAATTGGGTTCCTTCCTGTCCTGAGAAACACAGAGACCCCAAAAAGGAAAGCAGAGGAGAGAGACCCACACCCAGACCCAGCGAGAAGAAATGACCATGACTACTATGCCAGAAAGCCTCAACAGCCCCGTGTCGGGCAAGGCTGTCTTTATGGAGTTTGGGCCGCCCAGCCAGCAAATGTCTCCTTCTCCCATGTCCCACGGACACTATTCCATGCACTGTTTACATTCTGCTGGCCACTCGCAGCCCGACAGCTCCTACAGCTCGGCCTCATCCTTCTCCAGACCGCTGGGCTACCCCTATGTCAACTCGGTCAGCAGCCACTCGTCTAATCCCTACATCAGTTCAGTGCAATCCTATCCCAACAGCTCCAGCCTGACTCAGACCCGGTTAGAGGAGACAGGTATGTGCACTTGGCTTTCCACAGGGAGGAAGGGGAGGGGAGGAGGTGTGAGGAAAGAGAGAGAGCAGAGAGAGGGAGAGGGAGAGGGAGGGGGGAGGGCGGGAGAGAGCAAGAGAGGTTTCGGATATCAGTCTATGCATCCATATCCTATCAAAGAAAAAATTTAAAACTCATAACCATCAAGAAAAGAATAAATCCAGCGTTCGTCCTCCCGAATTGGCTGTGTCTCTGGGCGGCTCCGTGTGCTGAGCACACAATGCCCCTCTGGAAAACAGAAACCCAGATGTGCACGTATTAGTCTTGGTAATTATTTATTGCGTAGCGCTATAAACAATGTATGCAATTAAGGGTAATTAAACCTAAACTGCAGCCTGTAAAAATAGCAAACTTTCCCTGAGAAGGAGCCCAAGCTTCTGAAATAGCCCCCCAGCTTTTGTTAGAGGAACTTGATCTCGTATTTTTTCCTTTTTTTTCACACCTCTCTCCCACTTGCTCCACTTCTCCCCCAACCTTGTTGCTGCTTCTGTTCTTCTCTTTTCTTGTTATTAATTATCGTTGTGATTATCACCACCACCATCATTATTACTATTAATGATTGCCCCTCTTCTTTGCTGTTATTCCAGGAGCAGATTCAGAGAAAAGCACCGTGGTAGAAGGAGGGGAAGTTCGTTTCAATGGGAAGGGGAAAAAAATTCGCAAACCCAGGACTATTTATTCCAGTTTGCAGTTGCAGGCTTTGAACAGGAGGTTCCAGCAAACTCAGTACCTAGCTCTGCCGGAAAGAGCGGAGCTCGCAGCCTCACTGGGACTCACGCAGACACAGGTACAAGGGAGAATCTTCCTCTCCTACCACTCACAAAGGCCTCTTTTCATCCCGCTTTGCTTTGTTTTTTTTTCTCTTCCCATGTACACATATACATAGAACAGAACATATATAATGTCATATTACATATAACCTCTCTGTCTCTCCGACTGCTCTCGCTCCCCTTTTACCAGTGATCCTCTGCCGTACTTTGATTCCCGGGCACTGATCATTGAAGCAGTAGATTTCCTCGCTGGGTTTTGTTTTGGGGGCTCTGGGGCCGCACGTGCCCGAACAACTGGAACAATAGGAACGAGACGGGTTCTAATCCCCTCTATGGCTTTGAAGTGCGTTGCTAATCACTCAGCCTTTTGGCACCACGAAGCTGCCACCCTTCTTTTCTTCCCAGTCCTCCTTCTCCTCCGCCTTCTCTCCCACTTTGTGGTGGGAGTGGGGGAACTTTCCTCCCCACCCCGAGGGCACAATCTCCTTTAACGCGATCCTAATGAGGGAACCGCATAACTTTGCTTAGCTACATTTTAGATTTTCTCTGAGAGAAACAGCAAGCATTCTTTCTCTCGGCAGCTCTGTCATTTAGGAATATTCTTGGTTTTGAATGTCCCGGGCCAGTATTTGGAGCGGAGTGGGGGTGGGGGGGAGCAAACAAACACAAAAGCAGTGATTGGTTTGAGCCCAGAGAAATGTCAAACGTAACACCATCTTCTCAGCCAGCTCACCCTAGGGCAAAGAAATCAGTGAGAAGAGAACGCCGTGGACTCGAAATAAATTTCCTAAAACAATCTCTGGAGTTTCCACACTTTCTGTTTTTATTTTTTATTCTCTAAATGACTGCTTAAATTGGAATTGGAAGGGCTGTCCATGGGTTCTCGGCATCTGGTAGTCGACAAATAATGGAAAAGCCTGTGAGATTAATTCTTGTCTCTGGCTCAGTCAGGAAAAAGCCTTTTATTTCTCTTCTTCGATTTCTCTCTCTCCCTTACCCTCCGACCTTCCTCAACGACCTCCCCCCCCAACATAGGCACACACCGTCCTTGTTCTTTTAAAACTTGTTCTCTCTCTCAAAAAAAAAAAAGCTGTTCTCTCTCAGCAGTAGTTGGGATTCCCAGCCGCGCCCCCTGGACTGAGTCTAAGCTCTGTGCTTCCTCTTTTGCGTGGCTTAGCCCCACGGGCTGGTCATTGGCTTTATCGTTAAAAGTTGGTGCGAAGGGATTAGGTGCGGGGAATCGCATTCCACGCTCTCGGTAGAAGCGCCGCTGCCTTCTGGGCTCACTTTCCTAGGGCTTTGCAGGAAAGGCCGGGCTTTTCTCTCTACACTGCTCCCTCTCTTTCCCTTCGATTCTTTCTCTTCATTCTCCCTAGTCATAAATCTTGTCCCTTAACATAGTCCAATCCACACCCATACCTCAAGTCACGTCTGTGGTGTTTGATTTTGCAGGTTAAAATCTGGTTCCAGAACAAGCGGTCCAAATTCAAGAAACTGATGAAGCAGGGAGGGGCTGCGCTTGAGAGCAGCGCCCTGGCGAACGGCCGGGCTCTGTCCGCCAGCTCGCCTCCAGTCCCCCCGGGCTGGAACACCAGCAGCTCCTCCAGTAAGAGCTCCACTGGCAACGCGGGCACCTACATACCGAGCTACACGTCGTGGTACCCCTCAGCCCATCAAGAAGCTATGCAGCAACCTCAGCTCATGTGATTTACAAAAACAAACCAACCCATCTTCCCTCCTGCCGCCTCTCCCCACCCAGTACCTGGGTCCCCACTTGTCTCCCCAGTCCAGTCCAGCCCAGCCCACCCCTGGTTGACACGCACTATGGGTCCAGAGGAGAAGAAGGGAGAGCCAAGGAAAGGAAAACATAAACAAAGGATGCAAACCACCACCGCCGCCAACCACCATTGCTAAGTACCAGTCTCCAGACAGACCACAGAGTGCACTGGACCTCTTCAGACCCGGGAAAGCCTTCAGTTGGATGACGCTCCAAATTCTGGCGTGCCGCAAACAAGCGCAGATGTGATGCGGGGTTGATTCCCAAGTGCTGACAGCTGAGAAAGCTGCCTCTGAGCTCTGTTAGATCACCCGGAGGACAACCTGGGAGCAGGGAGACAATTCGACCCTCAGCTTTGTGGGGCGATCAGAAAACAAAACAATGTTTGTAGAAACACGATCTTTTCTGTCCTGTCTGTCTCCTCGTCTTCTTTCTGTCTCTGTGCCCTGATCAAATATAGGTCATTTCATTTGTTCTCACCACCTTTACAGCCTCTTTGATAGCAATGAGCACGGAAGGGAAATACTCCTTCCCCCTTAATTGTCTCCTCTTTGTTTGGGAAAATTTTTTTGGATATTCTCCTGTGCCCTGCCTATCCATATGTGTAGTTTGCTGGGGTGGGGTGGGAGGAAAGGGAGGGGAAGGGATTTTATTTATTGACAAATTGACTTAAACTACCACTATCTGAGTGCTAGACACTTAGTGAATATATTTGGCTTGCAAAGTGCACTGTTTGAAAGCACCGTTTACTTTAATCGAAAAAGGAAAAAAAATAACGAGGATGTGATTTTTAACTTTTACAATAACTTTTATACTTTGGTGATGTGGAGAGGTTGGGTCCGAATGATTTGCATTTTTTTTGTTTTTTGTTTTTTGTTTTTTTTTACATACTCAGTGTTATTTAAAACAGAGAGAGAAAAGAAAATGAAAATAAGCGAACATAATTTCATTCATCCTCCGAGCGGTTGGTTGCTTAGAGTGATAAAATTTGAATTCTCTTGGCTGTGTGTGTATGTGTGTGTGTGTGAGAGAGAGAGAGACAGAGAAAGAGACAGAGAGACAGAGAGACAGAGACAGAGAGTTGCTTGCTCTGAGTGGAAAAGAAGAAAGAGGGAGGAGAGAGGAAGAGAAATTATTCCAATGGGCTTCGAATTGAGACAGTGCAGCTTTAAAAACGATCTCCAGAGGCTTTGCCACAGAAAAATGCCAATCAAAAACCTACATGCACATACTCCAGTGCAAGATCTAATCGCTGTACATATTATTATTATTATTATTATTATTGTTCTGTAAACATGTTGCACAAATTTAGTCTTTTTTTGTTCCGTTTTGTGTGGCTGTAAAACATGATGCTTTGTGAAATGGGAATCTTGACATTTTACTTGTGAAATTTGGAAAATGTGATCAATTGAAATCAACTGTGTTTAGTGTTCTATATGTCAAAGTTTAGTTTTATATTGAGAATGTTAACTTATTGCTTTGTATCTGGGAAAAAAAACTTTGTAAATAAGTTATAAAGTTTCTTTGAGACAGTAAAATTATGGTTTCGAAAAAGAGCTGATGCCCTGTGTGCTGTGTACAGGAGCGAATTTGGGGCAAAAGAGAAAGGAGCAGGGCTGAGATGCTGGGACCCGGAATCTTCGAGTCAGGCAGAAACAGGTGCTGTCTATGGCTCAGTTCGGGTTGGCCCTTGGCCTCTTCCCACTAGTCCTCAGAGGCCAAGAGCCTGTTAGACGTGCGGGCTAGCAGAACCTGGACCCTAGGGAAGGATGCATCTCAGAAAAGAACTTTTGGGACAAAGTGTAATGCTAGCTAAGTTTGGCCACGGGACCTGCTGAAGAGTGGTGACCTCAATGCTTATAAGCTGAGTGAGTCGATTGCCTTGGCTAGTGTCTATCCCAAGCCTGGCGTGTCCATTCCTATGGCCTGCTCTGCTTCTCTGAGATCGACTGGACACCACAGACCCGAAGCCCTTGGACTAGGTGTTCACCCCACCCAAGGAGAGGAGGGAATCGTTCTGAACCCCACCCCAGACTAGCTCAGTCCCTGAAACCTCCTGGCCCTTCTGAGGTCCTCAGTCCCCTCCTTTTGCATCAGATTTTCCTTCTTAACATTAGAAGTTCGTTCTCTTTTCTTGTAGCGACTTCCTCTAATCCTCCCTTACCCCTGTTTAAAAGGCGGAGGAAGGAGGGAATGGGATCGAGGAGAGCTCACGAGGTGATTGAAAGGAAATTCAGAGAAGGAACAGGTGCTTCCGAGAAGAGTTGAAGTTGGGAGTGGGAAATATAAGTTAAAGGGCAGGAAGAAAGGACGGGCAATCAAGATAGCTCCTGGGCCAATCGATGACTGCCTTGGATTTCAGGAGTGTCCCTTCCCCAAGTCACTATGTTTGGACTGGGATGAAGAGCAGGAAACAGGCGACTTCCTTCGTTCGCTGGGTTGACAGACTATAACGCCAGTCCCTGGGTTGAAATCACTCAGATCTGTCTCCAGTCAAATACTCGCGGGGTAGGGGGTGGGGAGCATGAAAGTCTATATCTTCATTTCTCCCTTTTCAATCAATCAATGAGCATTTATTGAGTGCCTACTATACGCCCTATTAGTGAGAGGGAGAAGGAGAGGCGGTAGGGAGCATTCCCCCATTTTTCGGTAGGAGGGCGAGGGAAGCAGCCGAATCTTCCACGCCGGAGACAGCTTGGGCTAAGGCCACTTACTCACAAAGCCTTGTTTGATTTAAGCACTTCTGAAAGCTTGTTTAGTTCACGTATTGCCAAGCGCTCCCTGGGCCTTAGGGTTTCAGCAGAGAGTGGGGTGTGTCCGAGTGCCAGAGCAGGGAAGATGGTCGGTGCCTAACCAGGAGAATGACATTTCTGTAAACAGTTTGGAAATGTTTTCCCCTGCTTATTGGAACTGAAATGTGATTTGAAATCTCCACGGTGAAGTAGGGGAGGTGCAGGGAGGGGTCTTTAGCACAGGAAGCTTTGGGTTAAAGGACTTTGCAAATGATTATTTTGTCGAGTGGATTCTTTCAGATACACACTCTGTCCCCTCTTTAAAAAGCAGGATTTGTAGTATATGCGCCTGTGACATGGTTTGACTGGTAGCCTGCTTGTGTGGGCCGTCGGGGATGACTCTGGAAACTCAATGGGTCAGGACAGGAAACTCAGTCGCCTGCTTCTCCCAATCTCAGCCTTCCCATTCTACCCCCAGCAGACTCAACTACTTCTCCAGTTCCCAAAGCCATCCACCTAGACTTTCGGACCGTGCTGGGGAAAACTCCAACCGGACCAAACCCGAACCTAACTCTTTCTCACCTTATCCCACTTCCCGGCCTCCCTGGATAGCACCCGTGGGCCGCTTTTGCCCCTGCCCTACTCTCTGATTCGAGTATAGGCCTCTCTTCAGAGGTTGCTGCCGGTCGCGACCCTAGTCCGGGATCTGAGCCCTGGCCCGCACTCATAGTCCATTCACCGAACCTGCCAGTCACCACAGGCTTGGCCTGGGGGTGGGGAGCGCTGGGGCAGCTGGTTTTGATTCCGGTGACTAGGTTTAAGTCGGGGTCTGCAAAAGGAGCCTGGGGGGGGGGGGGGGGGGGGGGGGTTGGAATGGATTTCCGGTGGGAAAGCGGTGATAAATGGCATTGATTTTTTGTTGTGACACGCACCCATTTTTCAATTCATGATGATGAATGATCAAATGATCTGGGCCCATTCGACGCCTCTCCAGAAAAGCGCAAGTATGGGATGGGAGAGTGTAGGGATGGGAAAAGGGTGGGTTCTCACTCGGGCACCTGGAGGACATTTCCGGGAAGTAGTTATCCTGGCCTTTCCAGGATGCCCAGAGAGTTTTGACCCAGGATCATTTAAAGAAAAGTAGGAAAGCAGAAAAAATTCCACACCGCGATACACCTCCAAACCCAGAATTCAGCCCACTTCCTATTTCTGAATTAGTGTGAATGGGTTTGCCAGGCCAGAGAGCTAGACATTTGGTCTTAGCGGAGTTCACTCAGGCTTCGGTTTCCCCAGTGAGACCTGACTCACTTGTTACTGGTTAGGTTATTGACAGATGAAGATCACATATCCTACTCTTCTCCCCTGAAACAGCAGCCCGGGGCCAAAGCCTTAAGCCACAGGCAGAATCTGTCTGGTCAAGCGGATTTTAATACTTTGAGATATTAGCTTATACTAATTTAATAATGTCTTGCTAACAGTTCAAATAGAGAAATTATTAGTTTTATCTCAACGAAGGCGGTCTTTAGTTAGGCTCTATTATAATTATAAGCGGTTGTACTTTTAAAAATGTTAATCTCAATATAGGCCTAATTAATGCTGCCTTGTTACTGACAAGTAGTTCATCAAATATCTGATTCAAAGATTTTCATAATGAGTATATTAATTAAACTATGAATAATCTAAAGGTGGTTATATTTAAACAATACCTCATTACAATGATTAAATACTGATTTCTAATATTATGTCTTAACAATTGTCACTTAGAAAACACAACCTTTCCTTATGTATGAGTCTGTAATGGCAAAATGCAATTTTAGGATTTTTTTTCTTGTTCAAAAAATGTGAACCTCATTTTAAAACACTTCTGAAATAGGTTACACACAGCTTAATGATTATCAAAATGACTCTTTTCTGCAAAAAAAGACCCCAAAGTGCGCGTACAGCTGCAAACCCGAGAGGGTCAGCATCATTTCACTGTATTCTCTTCTTGATTACAAGCCGAGCCCATCAAACACAACATAATTACAGTAATTTCAGGTTTATTTATTCTAATGCAGTTTCCCCATCTCTCTGGTAATTATGAGCAATTTTTTCGCCCAGGGAATCTTTTTGCATTAACAAAAGAGATAACGCACTGAAAGCCAAATTTGCTGTGCATTGAGAAAAGGAAAAAAAAAATAATAAAATAGGTTCGAGCT